ATCAACATTTTTCTCTATTATGATAGGTTGGTTACTCTACAAGACCAAAATGTAAAGTTGTATTACGTGTAAAGGGCTTGAAATTGATTGATTGATAGAAGAATCTAGGAGTGGTTGTATAGAGTTGCTAGAAAATAAGATGACTTTGGTAAATAAACAAGGCTTAAATGCAATATATAGCAACATACTTTTGTTGGTTTGTACATTGTTATGTCTTATTTTTGTTTCTTCCTACTATATTATTGTACTTGAAAATTTCTACCAAATTTAATTATGTTTGTTTCCTTTTGATTTTGCATGATTCTGGTTCTTGGACTTGAAATTGATATTTTTCCTTCCGATTTTTATTTTTAGCATATATATATATATATGGATTTTATAAGAGTTTGACTGTCAAATATTTTTTTATGGTCTACTTATGTGTATAGGGAATTTTGGATTGGAAGTGGAAAAGATTTGAGGTTTAGTTATGGCAGTAAACAATTCAAGACAAGATACGATTCAATCAAACACTCGCAGTCAAATATAATAAGAAAATTGATAAATGATGTGTTAAGTTTCACCCTCAAACTAAGATTTAACATGGTATTTAACAAAATAAAAAAAAAAACTAATTGATGCCTGTATGCATTCAAAGTTACTTCCTACTCTAATTAAAGTTTGATACACATATGGTAATTATAATATTTAAATATAGTATATTATTTTTACATCATCATATAATAATGGTGAAGAATTTAAGATAACATGTTATATATTTGGATTTATATCATATTTTGTGCTAAAAGAAATTATAATTATATATTTGTTTATATATCAAATAGTACTCAACTTTCAAGTAACTACCTTATCTTAATGAATATATGTAAAATTAATTGTTAAAAAAAATTATTATGTATACAAATGATACACATGACATGTGTCTTTATTTAGACCCTTTCTTTCTATATTTTTATCTCTCTTGTTTTAAAATATGTATATTGATCATTTAACCTTTTTTTATTACGACATGAAACTTTAAACAATCTATCGATATCGATTATAGCAATATAGAAATCATGATATTATATCATTATATTATACCATTGATATTTTGGTAAATTGATGTTTTGATTAATCAATAATTTTCTTTGTTAACGATCACTATATTTAATTGTAAAAATTATTATTATTTAACCAGTCAAACCACAATAATATTTCTATAAATGATAGATTATGTCATGAAAACAAAATAAAATAAAACATTGGTTTCTAATCATAATCTCAAATATCATTTGTCATTTTTTGTTAATTATATATCGATACAAATGTCTTAAGGATACTAGCAACGACTATTTGTTGAAAAAACTATTCACCATCTTTCAAAAACAGCTATTCACCTAAAGTAAAACTATTTGCTTTAAAAAAAAACTATTATCACAAAATCACCACATTGAAAACACCACCTACGACCGCGCTACTAACACTTCTCTAAACCCTACACCTTAAACTGTAAACCTTAAGCCTTAAACCACCAAGTAAACTTAGATATATGTTGATGCATTTCATGTTCTTTGTAATATCATATGTTTATAATGAAACTATTATTGTCCGTCAAAATGAAGCTACAAGAAATTATTCGTCAAGCGAAACTAATCATCGAAATGGAATTAATCAACACCCAACTAAAGAATAAATTAGTGGACTGAAAACTATTTTCACGCATGAGAAAATTTATGCTGCATTGTCCATAAGAATATCACGTGACAATACAAATGTATTGGTGAACACTAAAAAAAGTTCAATGAGGACGAAGTCTATATCTCAAATGTGGTGTATAAAGAATTTTTGCACGGTTAACTTTTACTGATAATTATTTAGATGTAGTAACTATTTGCGCAAAAAAATTAATCGTCTCCAAAACTAATTTTTGAAAAACCTATACGCACTCATCGCTTAGCGCGAGTAAACGGCTAGTATATATATATATATATGAGTTATGCTTCATGTCCTGGATATGGTAACATGGCTTAGTAGTGACAATATGAACATGAGTCAATATGTTACTCACCACATATTCGACATGTCTTACCAAGTCATCATAACGTAAGTGGTTAAATATAACATTATCTTAGATAACAAATTATACATTAGTCAATAGGTTACTCACACCATCTTTCGCATGCATTATCAAATCATCATAACCTAACTGGTTAAATATGACATAATCTTTGATAACAAATGGTACATTGATATATCATTTCTTAATAATAAAGTTACATCAAGTTGAAATAAGAGCATTAAAGTATTATTGTCTTTAAGAAATAAAAATTATGTAATTTTGGAGTTTTAATATGAAAAGAGAAACTATGATGAGCTATATGGGTTCGTGCAATCTACGATACCAGACTATGAGTTGAAGGAGTGTCAATTTCAAGTCAATTTCGAGCCAAATAGCCAAACTGTGGAGGCTCTATGTTGGATTTCTAAACTAATATCCAAGATCAAATTTCTAATTTTTTATGGTGAAAATACTTTTAGAGTTAACAATTTTAGAAATTAGAGATCAAATTAAGAAATATGGTGAGGTTTGATCGCTGTACGATTTTGATTTTACGATCGTACTATTTTAGGATCGATATTGCTCCAAACCGATTTTATATAAATCATCTTTTTTTATACTTGTAGGATCATAAAAAACTTACAAAGTTATGATAAATTCTGGATCTTAACGAAACTCATCTAAAATATTAATGCAAGAAACATTTCATCAAACAATTTAATTTTAAATGAATGAATTATTTAAGTGGAAAAACCTAAAGGTTAAAAAGTTATAAAATTTCTATCTTTTGAATTAGTTATTGGATTAAGACATTTTTTTTAGAATAAAAAATATAAGTCTTATAAATCCTTGTTTTTAGTTCAAGGTTTTTAAATGTTTTAAGGGTTAAAGAATTCAAAATTTTGTAATACCGTTGAGAGACATAGAATTAACTTGTTTTCC